AGCAATATTCCAGCAATATCACGGCGGGAGACACCAGAAATGAGCTTCACACATTGTACCCATGTCGGGAACTGAACCGGGTCTTCGGCATGACAAGCGAACGCTTTAACCACTAGGCTACCCGACTGCCCCCTATTATTGAGAAGTTTTAGTTTCATTGATGTTTGAACTAATTGTGTTCTCTCCCACTCAATTTCTCTGAAATCGTTGTGGATAGTTTTTATAAGTGCTCACCTTTTGTAAACTTTCTAAGTACCCACAATGCTTATTACAGTGAAAATGCTACCTTAATCCTGGATGATTCATTGGTAAAGGACAAGCTATCTTGAATCTCTTCCCTAAACTTATTTACAACTTTGCCAGCAGAAACTACCCATGAAAACGCCATAATTATTATCAATACCCTAAACTAAGAAAGACCCTTAAAAGTTGTGTATAGTGCCTAAACGAACACGGCCATCCTTAAGTAGTACTATTAGTCTAAAACATAAAGGCCGCTCTTTAGTAAAAACAAGAGGCTAATAAAATGTAGTGCTTGATGTCTGAAGCAAAGTGGCAACACTTTAAAAGTGCCTTAATCCTTGAAAAAAGAGGCGACACTTCAATAGTGCCTTAATCCTTGAACAGGGGCGGTCGGGTAGCCTAGTGGTTAAAGCGTTGGCTCGTCACGCCGAAGACCCGGGTTCGATTCCCGACATGGGTACAATGTGTGAAGCCCATTTCTGGTGTCCCCCGCCGTGATATTGCTGGAATATTGCTAAAAGCGGCGTAAAGCCATACTCACTCACTCACTAATCCTTGAACAAAGAGGCCTTACTTAAATAGTGCAAAAATCCTTGAACAAAGAGGTGTCACTTGAATAGTGACTTAATTCTTGGACAAAGAGGCCATACCTGACTACTGCCTTAACCCTTGAACAAAAAAGGGGCCACACTTTAATAGTGCAATAATCCTTGTACAAAGAGGTCTCATTTGAATAGTGCCTTAATCCTTGAACAAAGTGCCACACTTGAATAGTGCCTTAACCATGGAACAAAGAGGCCACATTTCAACAGTGACTTGATCCTGGAACAAAGTTGGTTTAGTGTATAGGCAGGGATCATAGCATTACACAAGTGCATCTTCAGTGACTGACACACACATTTCATCAGTTTCCACCATGTTTGAGATGCATGTAGTGTTGGGGAGCCCATGTCTACATGGTGGGGGTCAAGTGAAGTGATACTAGTAATTCTTGCCTTTAATCTCCATAGTTAAAGAAACAGCTGGACTTGAAGAGTCTCTCAAATATGGAGCATTCTTATATACATACCATATGGTAAAATTGCGTAATGCTGAAACAATCTTTTGATTATTTAATAAACTTATTCATCATTGATGGATATTGGTATAAGGGCATATACCGAAACGTTGCCATTACAGTAAAATAAAGAAGTTGTTATCCCTAAATTGTGTCTACTTTGAGTGAGTGAGTGAGTGAGTATGGTTTTATGCCGCTTTTAGCAATATTCCAGCACCAGAAATGGGCTTCACACTTTGTACCCATGTCGGGATTCGAACCCGGGTCTTCGGCGTGACGAGCGAACGCTTTAACCACTAGGCTACCTGACCGCCCCGTGTCTACTTTGAAGAACAGTGGTGAGATTAATGCCTCCTTGAACAGTATTAATGTTATAACACAGCACGTATGTCAGGAAGGCTCATAGTGTTGCAGGTGCTGACAATCAGGGCATATCTGAAATTCAAACCCATGATCATTGGTTCCTGGCATACCTAAGGGACACAACTCTGTGCAATACATAGCACTGGCTTAGACCCCTGGGCCACCTGTGTTGTAATCTCCTGATGCTAGTGCCCAGGAGCATGGCTTACAGTACATTCATCCCATGACTCAGGTGTTCCTGCTTACGCATGGCTGTGTACTGATACTCTCCATTGATCCCTCTCACAAACAGCCATTATGTATCAACCTGACTGAATGACACTGAGCTCAATCCATAGGTGTCAGGCATGTTCACCAACTTTACATGGAGACATGGAGTGGTCACATAGATTTCAGCGCAACATTTCGGTACAGATGCTAATGCCATTATCCAGTGCCTTTAAGCATCACTGATGCTTCAACGTCTTAATGCCACTTCAGGAAACTTTACATGAAGTTCATAGAGTGTACAGAGATCTGGAAAAGCAGCCATACCAGCGAACAACAATTGGTAGATCAAATTTCTACACAAACACATATCTCAAGAGGACTGACAAATTTTCTTTCATTTTTCATTCATTAGTAAAGTTTTCAAAAAGTAGACATGTGGGGAAAATTTCCAAATTTGATGCGGTGATCAGTGACAAAAATGATGTCCAATGCAATTCCCTGTTTTGACTTGTACCATATGTTCCCGTGTTTATTCAGGTAAGCTCTTGCCTTGCCTTTGCATGTATTTGTGGCAGATATAAGTGCAATAATCTTGGACGCGACGTTAAACCCCATTTTACCTCACCCATCCAATGGAATATGTTTCATCTGATAATTGAGACTGGTTATTATTTGGCATATATTGTTTTATATTTTTGATTTTGGAAATATTCTTTGCTGCTTCTATTTCATACTTTTATCAATATGCTAAGATATAAGACAGAACAAAACAACACCAAAAGAATAAAATTGTTATCAGGGTTCATTTGAGGTCAATGTCTAAGTTCCAAAATATAAGTCATAACCAAAGGTATAAACAAGAAAATATTAAAAAATTCCTTTACAATTTTCAACCAAAGACAACAGGATATTTCTGTCACACTTATACTAAACTAAGGGCTGCCATGTCTTCATCTGGTTTGATTATAATAAAATTCAGGCAAGCATTCAACAAAACATCGGCATCTTTCTGAAATTGATTGACTAATGTATTAAAGGAAATACCATTCTCCATAAATAAGATGCTTAAGAATTCAAAGACAAACCAGCAATAATTTTTAACAGCATGTAAGCTGCATCTTATGATCTAACAAATTTCCATAAATGATGAATTGGTTTGGTTTGTTGTTTAATGCCGCACTCAGGAATATTCCAGCTATATGACGTCAGTCTGTAAATAATGGAGTGTGGACCAGACAATCCAGTGACTGAGGTCATGAGCATCGATCCACGCAATTGGGATACAATGACATGCATAAACCCAGTCAGCGAGCCTGACAACCCAATCCCGAAAACTGGTCGTCTCTTATGACAAGCATAGTCGCCTTTTACGGCAAGCATGGGTTACTGAAGACCTATTCTACCCTGGATCTTCACGGGTCCCATAAATGATGAATTATCATGAATTATCACATGATGAAGGTCACCATGTACACTAAAGAAAGCCCCAAATATCATTTCGTTTTAAAAAATGGTGGGAGGGATTTTATTTTCATACTTTTTTTTTTAATAAAACTGTCCAAGGCCTCTGTGCATATTTATACTGTTGATGTACGAGATGCACATGAAGTATGCCTATATATCCAGTATATGTGCCTGTACATGGTACATTCTATCAAGCAAAGAAAGATTACACAAGGTGTTTCGGTTTTTTTATCTGTCAGAACTGGTTACAATGTCATGATATTGGGCTGGTGGTGAGAAGAGGTGAAATGGAGTTTAATGTCACGTCCAAGATTGTTGCATGCAGTGCATGCGTGCGTGCGTGCGTGCGTGCGTGCTTGTCTGCTTGAAATCGTCTGGATTGATGCTGATTTATAGTGCTAGCTCACTGAGATACCATGCCGCAGTTTAACACGAATACGCCACTCAAACACAATATACTGATTCCGAGCCAGCCAGTCCTTGTTTTAGCCCCTTAATGCCGAGCACCAGATAGGGTAACAACAAGTACCATCTTTTTATGTCTTTTGGTATGGCGCTGCCTGGGATCGAACCCCGGACATTCCAATCTCCGGGCGGACGCTCTTCCACGAGATCACGGTGGCAGTCTATTACTGGGCTGGTGTTTGATAGTGATGAAAACCTAACGATTTCTTTATTATGGCCTGAAGATTATTGCTTTGGCCAAGCCTCTATTGAGCTATTACATAGGTTTGTAGTAAACATGTTTACACCTCCAAGCTACATCCTGTTTATGTCCTTAAGTATTACCCTACCCTATTGTATCATCAAAAGTAGCTCTATTTTCAAGTACAACTCTCGTTTATGGTGTGACAAACAGACAGGTGCAAACTGATGCAAATTGATCTTAAACAGGTGAAAATATCATAGTTTGGTTAGGACCTGGAAATAGAATACATTTTCACTACTCAAGTGGTGCTAAGTACTCTGCAAATGCTGGTCAAGTTTCTGAAGGTAAATTGTTTGTCATTTAATTAATTGTTTTGTTACACAACCATGGTTAGAATTATAGGTAAGTTGTTTTGACATTTCCAAATATGTTGTCAGGATTTATTTGAGGTTAATTTTTTAATTTAACTTTAAAAAATAGAAAAGTATAACCAATAATATCGATGAGAAAATGTTCACAAGAAGCATACTGACAACTTTCTACAACATTACTGTCTTGCTTCTGTTAAATTTATAGGGCTAAATATAACAAAAATTAAAAAATACTGCATTCATTAAATATCTGTATTTCTCTGAAAGCGGTCAACTTCAGTTGTTAAAATTTTTAAAAATTCATAAATAAAAAGCCTAATAATAATTATTCAATGGTGAATTAGGAAGTAATAATAAATAAGAAAATTCATGAAATAGTACTACTACTACTACTAATATATATTTTTCATTCTTATGCTTTTGCAAAACTTAAGGCAGACTTGATCTAAATATCAACAAATTTCTGTTTATCTTTTCACTTTTTCAAAATGATACACAGGCTCACTCTGTAAAAGAAAGGTCACACTTTAATCTTATTTTCTACTTTTTCAAAAGTTAGAGCAAGCTCAGTATGTAAAGTGAGAAAACAGTTTGTCCGGCCTAAGTGGAGTTTATTAATTTATTTAAGAGTGTAGCTCCTCACCCGAAGGTTTCTCCCTCTTGGAAACACTGGGAGTAAGCATGACACAGCTGGTTGTAGGGGCCACACTTTGTTAGGCGGCGGTCGCAGTTGTCCCCCACAAACCCCTCAAAACAGGAGTTGCTCCTGCAGGTTCCTGTTCCCTGAGTTCCGTCGTCGCAGTCACCATGGAGGCAGCTGCACTCTGAAATATACCAATAGTCAGTTCCTTATGTCGTCACAGGCAACCAAGACAGAGCCAGGACATGTCAAGGGTAAAAGGGCTCTGTGGACAAATACATGACAATTGGACAAGGACATACACAAGTATTTCTAAACTACATATTCAGATCCATGGGTGGTTGGGCTGTCATTTCATTGGGCTCTTCATTAACACTAAAACACCATATTTCTTGATCAAGACTTTTAATTAAGGGCTGAGGTGAGGTGAGGTGAGATTATTGCACTTTTATAGCGACATGCATGGACGTGTGTCTGTGTGGCTGGCTGGCTGCTTGTACTAGTCCGGACTGATGCCGATTTATAGTGCTAGCTCACTGAGATACCATGCCGCAGTTTAACATGGGTTCGCCACTCAGACACAGCATACTGACTCCGAGCCGACCAGTCCTTGTTTTAGCCCCTTATTGCCAAGTGTCAGGCAGGGTAACAACAAGTACATATTTTAACGTCTTTGGGCATGACAGGACCTGAGATCACACCACCGACCTTCGACTCTCCAGACAGAAGCTCTATCCTGTTGGCTCTTGTACATAACATTTGAAAGGAAAATGGGATGTAAATCCCCTGTAACTTGACCCCCCACAGCTAGTTAACAAAAGATTGACGAAGGAATATTACAGTATCAGGTCCTAACATATATTGAGTCCTTGTTGGTGTGTGCGTGACAGGGATGCCCCATGGGAGGCTGACAGAGCCAGGCAGCAATATAGATCTGGCCACAGCAACATCACCACTGATCAGATAGACAACATATTTTCACAGAAACCAATCAAAAGATACAACTTTTTCACGAATTTGATCGTTTTGATAATCAATACAGACATCTTTGAAAGCCGTGGACAACCATTTCTATGGATTTGATCTTGAATAACATATTTCTTTGACTCCACTTGCAGGGTCCTTATCAGTGGGGTATAACACTTGACACATTTTGTAAACTGTCGATGTTAGCTTTGCATGTAAACATCATGTTACACCCTGGGTCATAGCTCAGGGTCTTTGTAGGAATAAAACTTTCGTACAGTTTTCTGGGACTTGGCTATGTCCGATGGCCATTGGACATGTCAATAGTTCTGTTGCCCAAACACAAGTCAACAAAGATTTTAGTCAGATCTACACCTGACCGACGTCACCCATGACCTTGAAGCTACTTTTGACCTCAGCTATTCCTTTCTGAAACTACTTATGGCTCTTGCTACTTATTTCAAAAACTTCTTGTGGTCCTCGCTAATCATTTAAATAACTATGTGTGGCCCTAGCTACATATATTTCAAAAACTTTTTGTGGCCCTTGCTACTCATCTAAAAAATACTCTAGGCCTTAGGTTCTCATTTAAAAATTGACTCATGACCTCAGCAAGTCATTAAAAAGCTACACATGACCATAGGTAATCATTTCGAAAACTATTTGTGACTCTAGCTACTCATGACTTCAGGCCTGAATTACTCAAGACAGTCACGGCTACTGTTTCCCCGGCAACTCTATCAAAGATTGCATGATGTTCGGTGGGCCCTTTTAATGCAGAATTATTAACTAACCTTGTAATTTCAAGAGCACATGTTGCACTCTGTATTTATTTATTTATTTATTTATTTATTTATTTATTTATTTATTTATTTATTTATTTATTTATTTATTTATTTTTATTTTATTTTTTTATTTATTTATTTAATACACTCAGTATATTTATCATCAGCTTTCTTCTTCTATCAAGTTGTCAATTGATATATTCTTGTACGGCTTTTGAAGTAGCATTCTGACTGATGTGCCGGATCAATTTATAAAACTAACGCACACTCTACTGCTTCGCATCAGCATAACTCACCCATGATTGAATAAAGATTGATGCACACAATGAATCATTTTTATTGGATAAAAAGATTCGGAAACATTTATTCACTCCAGCAACTTTAAGGGTGTTGTAAAGATTAATTTTCCTCTCCATTCAGACAAGATTTCCCAGCCTGTGTGGATGTAACTGAGCTGATATTACTTGGCTGGTGATGGATTGGGAAATAAGTGCTTTAGCCCATGTAAATTCCTGTTGTAGTCGATGTTGGGATGAAGCAATGTACCGGGCGCCGCACAAACCTGGAGGTTAAACAACTGCACAATCTGAATTTAAAATGTGCTGACCTTTACTGTTACCTGCTGTAAATTAACACTTAAATCCATTTTGAAGTTTTAATCCTTATAAATAAACATGAATTCTGCCTGTGGAATTGAAATTGGGAATATTGTGTTTCCCTAACGACTCTCCCAACAATAACTATTGTGATTTGTACTGGGAATGGTTTACTTTGTCGGCACACTGAGATGAATATATCAAGATGCTGATTAAACTGTGATAAATATAAGAATTTGTTCATTATTTATCATTAATTTTATAACATATACATTGTCTGAACAAGTGTGTTTTTGCTTCACACTTACAAACAAAATCAATATCACTGCACAAGATGATGCCATACTAAAATGTTGCTAGGACATTTTAATGGCATAAGAATGACAATTTACACCACTTTGCCCAATGTCAATAGAATTCTTTAAAGAATGGAACCTTTTTATCTGATATATGTAACACTGGAACTCTCACAACTACACATTCTGAACTATGTCGGATACAGATAGGGCTGTTAAAGATGGATCCTACATGCTACTTACATTTACTGATACAACTATTTTCAAATGACAACAAAAAATTTCACAGAAAGCTTGCCATCCTCAATAATTGGTTTTATAATTCCAACAACACTATATAAGTGCAATAATCTTGTACACGACGTTAAACCCCATTTTACCTCACCTCACCTGTATACTCAGCCTGTTGTTTGTTTGTTCTTTAATGCTGCAATATTCCAACTATATAAAGTTGACTTGTAAATAAGCAAGTCTGGACCAGACAAACAAGAGACTGGTACTATTAGCAACATCCCATCCGTTGGGCCGCACTCAGCAATATTCCAGCTATATGACGGCGGTCTGTAAATAATCGAGTCTGGACCAGACAATCCAGTGATTTATATCATAAGCATCAATCCGCGCAATTGGGATCGATGACATGCATCAACCAAGTCAGCGAGCCTGACCACCCGATCCCGTTAGTTGCCTTTTACGACAAGCATAGTCACCTTTTACGGCAAGCATGGGTTGCTGAAGACCTATCTACCCTGGATCTTCACGGGTCATGACATGTGAGTGAGTGAGTGAGTATGGTTTTACGCCGCTTTTGGCAATATTCCAGCAATATCACAGTGGGGGACAACAGAAATGGGCTTCACACATTGTACCCATGACAGGAATCGAACCCGGGTCTTCGGCGTGACGAGCGAACGCTTTAACCACTAGGCTACCCGACCGCCCCTCATGAAGACATGTAATGAGCCAAGTCACTGAGTGGGACTACCCAAACTACTTCGTGTCTCTTATGACAAATAAATGTGGACGGGTTCCACGTGGACTGCCCATGGGTCTACTCATGGTAGAAACGGATGCTACTGATTTGTTTAATGAGTATGACAATTACCAATTATTTTGTTTATTTCATGAAAAATACATATATATAATTACTGCAAGGATTTTACGAGGAATATTTAAATTAGTATGTTATATAAAGGTATTAGGGAACATTATATTGTTCCCAATGACTTGGCAACCAGTCATGCCATCTTCTATAAGCCCCATTCACATGGACACTTTTACTTACGTGAGTATATATACTTACATAAGTAAATTTACTTATGGTGGCATGTGAACGCATTTGCTTACGTGAGTAAATATACTCCAGGAGTAAAGAGGCATGAGTAAAAGTATATTTGCTACACCTAATGAGGTCTAGTAAAAGTATATTTACTTATAAGTATAAATGCTCCTGGAGTATTTCTGGTCATGTGAACAGATTCTCTATTTGCTTATGTAAGCATATTAAATCCAAGATACTGATAATCAGGAAAATACGGCTGTAGTTCCTTGCAAAGAACATAACATGTTCATAAAATGTTTCGCGTGTCATGCGAAAGTTATCGATCCACAGTTTATCATCAAATGATCATTGGTGACATTGTTCCACCAGTGTTGAGAACGTTCTCTCTTCCACAGTTCTCTTTCCTCACATAATCCTAAGACAAATCCCACACTAAGAAAGTATGGAAAGTCTCTCTTTCACCTCTGGTTGACGATCTTCGACAGCGACATGGCCTCAAATGATAAAATTCCACAATTTATTTATGAAATGATGTTTACTTCTGCCTTGCATAAACTTCATGTGAACGCAATGTAAATATACTTTTGCTTACATGAGTAAATTTGCTTACATGAGTAAATTTTGTCCATGTGAATGGGGCTTAAGATTTGATTTAAATATGGTTTAGGGAAATATTACATTATTATAAATGATCATATATTATGAAAATAATCACAACTGCAAATGAAATAAAATGGTTAACCTACCTCACTAGTAAATGAAATGCAGGTGTATAATAATTGATAACAAAATAACTTCCCAACAGGAACATTGTAGGAAACGGGAATACTTTAATCACTACCCCACCACCAGTTATCGAAAAGCAAAATTTGCAACTTTTTGCATCATACAAAAAACACAATGTTCTTGTGCTTCTTGTGAGAGTATTTATTTTGTGTTTTTCATTTTGGGGGAGGGGAGAGGCATTCTTGTATACTTGGATATATTCCTATGCTATGTGTTTAATGGGTGGGGGATGAATGCACTGACTGATGTTAGCGCAACAAAAGATTTTTCAAATACAGTAAACTATGTTTAGAACGAACATACTTATACAAACTGAACGATATAATGAACTTATTTTTTGGTCATTTGTGTATATATGCTGTATATATATATATATATGCTTATAACAAACTACAGTCAAAGTAGAGACAATTTATGGATAACAACTTCTTTATATACTGTAAAGGCGACATTTCGGTATATAACCTTATACC